CAATTATTTCCTTATTTTTCATTAATTTGTCAAAAAAAGAGTTATAAAACCCAAAAGCCTGATTGTTTTAGTACTACTACAAAGTACAATTCTATAGCCACTTTCAATTAAGAACCTTTTTGCTGAATTTAGTTGATTTTCATTATCATGTACATATTCCTGTTTAAGCAAAGTTGACCACTATGTATAAACTTGTTTCTGCATCAAATTAGGATGTTGATTTTTTAAAATTTGATATATTTCACTTGGACTAAGATGAATATTTTTTTTAATCACTTATTTAATTGTTTTATTAACTCCAAATTATTCTGGCTATTTATAAAGCATTAAATGCTAAAGATGAATTGATGCACTTTTTAATTTTAAATTAAAAACAATCTTGATTCGTCCATTACAAACAAATCTATCAATTGGAATTCGATCTCTTTGATTTTCAATATATTCATATTTTCTAGGTTTTATAGCAATTGATTAACATTGAGAACAATTATATTGAATTGTATAAATATTATCTTTTGTTGAAGAATAATAATCTTTGTAAATATAATAATAACCATCTGCATTATCTAATGATTCAGCGATAATTAGATAACTTTTGTGGATTATCTTCATTTATGTCAAGTGAAATATTATATTTAAAATTGATCACTGCTGATTCATTTTCAAAAAATTCATTTGTATTAATTTCTAAAATTTGTTCATAAAGCTTATCTGACATTTTTTTTATAATAAAAGCTTAGTTACTAATTCACTTTGATGAGATTGTTTATAATGAATAGAAGACTCAGAATGACAAGAATTACAAGTTTTTGGTTGATGATTAGTTTTATTAGCAAATATGTGTGAAGGTAAAGTTTTTTTACATCTTGTACATTTTTGCATCTCCATATTTTTTTCATACTGGTTTTGAAAGAGACAATAACAAAAAAAAAAAAAAGTATATAAATAACAATTGATATAATTTCACAGCTGAGTTTTAAATTTTAAATTTGATATGCAACATAAATTTTACATAAAATAATTAAATAATACATGCTTATTTAAAGTATTTATTGTAAAAACAAAGCATCGAATTTATAAATATTTAAAATTAAATAAATTTATAATTATCCATTATATCTACTTAGTTTCGCTTTATTAAATAAAATATAATATCTTTCAATAGTTAACCTATATGTTCTTTGTATAGAACTCAAGGTATTTTACTAATACTGTTGGCCCTCTCAAAACTGTGGATGAGTTCTGTATCAGTTTTGGGAGGTTATCAGATTTAAAAAAATCACATGATAAATGGTCAGAAATCAGCCAATCAAATTGCAGAATTAGTATATATAAATTTTATCAAATTCGATTAGAAAAATTTCGCTAGAAGTTTTAAAAATTCAACAGTACTTAAATTGGGAAGATTGTAGATCAAAGAACCCAGTGATATATTCGTGGTCATCACATCACATGATTAATCATTCGGTCTAAGTTAGGGTTAGTGTTAGGGTTAGGTGATAGTATAGTTTAGGCCAATTTGTTAAAGCAAGTAAACAAATGACATCATTGTATAATTTCATGTGATGTGATAATCACTAGGTTCCTTGATCTACAAGTGTCCCCCGAATTATCTAGATCAGATAAACAGATCAAAATATCTGGATAATCTGACAGATATTCGGATAATTATTCAGATATCAATTGTAAATGAATATCTGGATAAATGCAGATCGGATACTTTGGATAACAGATAACGAATATCTGATAATTATCCAGATAATGGATTGTTTATCTGGGTGATATTTAAGTAAATGCTGAATAAAATACCCCTTCGGTAGTAGGCCCACTATGTA